ACGTACTATTAGAGTGACCGCGAAATATAAAACTGTTATTTAATTTTTCTAGTATACAATTTTTATGATAAAAGATTTCGAATAAATATCTTTTATTGAAACTTTCGAGATAAATCGGTCCAATCGTTTCTTTAAATAGAAATTAAGCAGACAATGTTTCGATATGTTTGGCACCACAAATCTTTCGTAAATAATAACGGATTTTTAAATCCTTTGGAAGCTGTAATTCCACAGAAAAAAAATTCCGCAATAGCTATTATTTGATATTATTTGTAAGAACTTTTCTAATAATAAATAAAACGCACACAATAAGTCATATAAAAAAATTATGTAAAACAATGTCAACCTATTTAATTAAGTACGAGGATTTCGCTATATTATTGAGAAACGGCGGCGTTGTCAATTTTGTTAGTATTACTCCGCGAATACGTGGCGGCATTCAAAATTGAATTCTCCGAAATTACACCGGTTTCAATCTCTCGAAATCCTAACGTCGCCTTCCGGAAACGCATTTTCCGCTCGATCGAAACGGACTGGCTAAATCCCGGACAAGATTCGGTCTCCTCGGTCCTTTCGCGGAGACAGAGAATCAGTGAGTGACATTTCGCTTTGGTTGCATAGGAAATTGCGCGATTCGGAATGCCGAAAGTTTTTCCGATGAATGGTCCAGGCGAATCGGGGCCGAGAGCAAGTCGAACGGAAAACGCGCGGACCTCCTTTGTTCGCCTCTCGCGGACGTATGCGGCGAGAACGCGGGACATTTTGATTGATTCAAGTTGGCGACGACGACGACGACGACGACGACGACGACGACGACGGCGGCGGCGGCGGCGGCGGCGGCGGCGGCGGCGGCGGCGGGACGGCTGGTCATCCCGGGTTCTTTCACGGGGGTGAAACTTACCCTCCGCGACATCCGCGCTTTGCCGCTCCGCCCAGGACCGCCGTTATCGTCCAACTTCAGTTTGCGAAACTGTCGGCGTTCTGGCGACTATTTAGACGCCAA